CTGGAGAGAGATACAGGGAGGAGTCAGACAGAGTGAGAGGGAGCAGGGAAGTCATCCCAACACATTTCTCCCGCGTTCACTCCCTCCATCTCCCATCCTTCCCTCCTTTCCTGGAGCCGAGTAAAGAGTCTCTGTCTCCCGCATCACAGCTCCAGTCATCCTCTGTCCAACTGTGCCACTGTATGCGTGTTTATGTGCGTGTGTATATATATATATATTACACATGCACACATAGACACAGACACACACACACATATATATATACACATGTGTATATATATGGAGCAAAAGCTGCTTTAAGTTTGTATCAAGGGGACAAAAAGGGAGCTTGTGACTTATATAAGGACTAATATTAATACTGTCATTAGTGTACTTTACAAAACATAAATTAGTAGTACAAGGTGAACTTCTTTGGAGAGTTGAGTTGGTTCTGTAGAAGGGAATCCTTATCGGTGTTGACGTGTGTGTGTGTGCATGTCACAGTACTGGCAGGCAATGGGCACAAACTCAAGGGTCTGTCAGAACGGGCAGGGAGGTGGATGTGGCGGGGGCAGGGTGGAGGTGGACAGAGAGATGACGAGGAGGAAAGAGAAGAGATGGGCTCTTTTCCATGACGGACGCACCCATCAGCCAATCAGCCCTGGGCTCCTCCGAGAAAGGGTGCGGTGGATGGCGCCACCTGGGGGGGGGGGGGGGTAGTACAGAGTCTGCAATCACACCAGGGTCTGCTCAGCAGGTGTCAACATACTGGCTGAATATGATTCTCTAACTATGCACACATACACCACCTCATGTGTGATGCAGGACGGGTTTTAAAGAAGGGTCTAATCAGCCAAGTGTGAATGTGTGTGGTCTTTGTACCTGCTATCTAGAAATGTAAGTGTAGGTGCGGGAGGGAGACCGTCCCTCTGACTGGCCATTGGTCGAGACGTTCAGGAAGTCCCAGATCAGAATGGTGTCGTCGTGAGAACTGCTGATGATCTGAAACTCATCAAACTGGAGACGAAACACGCGGCCAGAGTGCTCCTGAAAACACAGTACGACATTACGTTAACATACTATTCATACGGGCAGACCATGGACTCAAAAGACATGTTGACATGACCGGTGAAACATATTGGTTGCAGGCTGACCTACCGGTGTATAAATACATTTGACATTGTTAGATTTGATATTAGAACCCCATCCGAGACATCCTAAATAAAGACTTTAAGGTTGGGAGACGCTGGACTTCACCCGCAGATTGATATGAAAGAACATTCTGAAGCCACGTCGGCAGTCCAACCTCAGATGCCATTTATGGATGTGTTTTGAATATGGCGTCTACCCCATTTAGGTCAATGAGGGTAGAGAAAATATTGGAATATCATCTCTGTATAATGCATTATAATTACACAACAAGACTATTGATAATACATTTAAATCCACAACTTAACATTATATGCATGGTGATGGTAGAGTTTAATGCAGGACTATTGTATTGGAAATAATCAGTTTTAGCTAATTGTACCTAAAACCCTTAAATGAGTCATCTGCTCTAATGATTCTCAAATTAGTCAACAAAATACGCATTAGTAGAAACAATGTGAAATGTTACTGATCGTTAAAACTAAGGTGAAAAAGAAAATAGTGTTTTGAGAGAGAAGGTAGGACTTTGGATATGTTTAATCCTATACAGCTAAGATTTTTAAAGTAATATCCAGAGTACTATGACTCCTTAATGATGTACTATAGTATTAAACTACAACTTTTAGACATACTACACTGACTGTATGACAGACTTTACTATGATTTGTATACGACATGCTATAATATGACTTTTGAAACATACTTTACTGTGACTTTGTATGATTTTTTTTAAATGGCATATTACTATTTTTTATGAATTCCCTTTTATCTTTCTTTAATGTCATATTGTACTACGACTTTTTTATGTCTGACGTTCATGGTATGCATGATATGACTTATTAATGACATACAATATTACTTTTTATATTGCATATTGTTTTACTCAGGGATTGACATACTATTGTATACTATGACTTTTATGACACAACATGCTATGGCCTTTTCATGACATACTATACGAAGGCATTTCATCATATAGCATACTATATAATGATATACTATATCACAACTTTTTATGGTAAACAGTACCTTTGGTGTTGCATGTTGTTGCATTACAACCTGGATTTAAACATTTAATTTGGATGTGTGGATATGTAGTGACCCCCCTTTGCTGTAAAGCCCCAAAATAATATCGGACTACCACTTACCTTCAGAAGTCACATACTAAGTTAAATAAAGTCCAATCTCAGAACAAGATATCGCTTAAAGAAAAAATAAACACGTTTGTCTTTCACATGCTTTTTGGCAGCACCTAGTCTCCCTCCATAAAGCAACGCATGAGGATCCCACTTACCCCCGTTAGAACAGACCGGGTGCCGTGTAGGCTGCTGCCCACACTTCAGTGACACAGAGCCGATTATTAATCAATGGAATTTCTACGGTAGCACTCAGACAACTTTATGGGTGTATTTAGCAGGTACGAGGACAAATTAAAATATTAATGTTGATGCTTTTTCAGTCAATTACGCGGACTAATTGCGGCAGCTCTTGAGGAAGTGCAGTTTAAGACAACTGTGCATGATCTCCATCAGTCAGCCATGTTGCCGCAGGCTAAATCATAAAGGTACTCACCACTAGAGTGCGCAGACATAATGTGCTGGCAGGGGCTCTTGGGTCAAGGGCTGCCTGCAGGTCCCACACCTTGATCTTGCTGCAGAGAGAAATATGAGTCAGCACAACATCAGAAACAAAATGTCTCTGTGTACAAAGCTGTGTGTGTGTGAAACTGACCCGTCGTAGGCACCGCTGACAATCCTTTTATTGTCAAAGCGAATGCAACGCACCAGCTCCTCGTGACCTTCCAGCACTCGCAAACATGCCCCACACTCTATGTCCCATAACCTGGAGAAGGAGAAGCCTTAGTACACACATAAGGCAACACACTCTTCCTACACTGTAACGCTATGTTAAACAAGGACATTTGAATACAGATATTATTTTTCTTACTTGCATGAAAAATAAACTGTCAATCCTCTTAATACATTTAGATTATTGTCACATAAACAGTTTTGATTGAAGAGATATTAACAATGTGCATTTTAAATAAAAACACTACATAATATATAAACCATATACATCTTTAATCTCGCACACGTACCGGATTGTGTTGTCAGATGAGCCGCTGACCACCAGACGATCTCTGTACTGTAGACAGGCAATGCCCCTCTTATGACCATTTAGTGTGCGCACAAACTCACAGGTGCTGGTGCTCCATACCTACAAACAGCAAAATGGAAGGCTTTGTGACACAATGGCCGGGATTCATACAGCTTACCAAACAACCACTTGGCGGGTTTGAAACTATAGAACAAGTTGGACTTAGTTGAACAGATTAAACTGTAAATGATAAGGTTTATCATAGAAAACACCTCCTTAGCTCTGGTTACCTTTATGGTACGGTCCCCTGAGGCGGACACGATGTATTTGTCATCAAAATCGACCACATTGACGGCAGCCCGGTGTCCCACAAGGACACGACGTAGGCTGATGTCAGTCGGCGAGGCCATGTCCCAGACAGCAATTGAGCGGTCCTTGGAGCAGGTGACCATCAGTCCGTTGGCGAAGCGTAGGTGAAGAACTGCCTCGTTGTGGTGGATCAGTGTGTTCAGTACCTCACCTGTTGTCACCTCCCACACCCTACAGAGGATGAGGGGGGAAAGGAGAAGGATGGAGGAAGAGGAAACAGAAGTAGGGAGAATTGACATGGTGGCGGTATGATGGGGGCAGAGGTGACAGAGAGAAAAAGAAAAGGCAGGAAGGAAAAATGGGGATGTGGAATGAGAGGGGAGGGGTGTGAGACAAAGAGGGAGAGAAAAGTGGAAAATGATAGGAAGGAAGGGGTGAGGAGGAGGACAGAGGGAAGAAAAGAAGGTTGAAGATGGAGAGTGGAAAAGAAATGTAACGGGAAAGGAACAAGAAAAACAATGGAGACAGGAAAGAGAATTATGTTTATTATTTTTACAATGGAGAGGAACAAGAGTTCACACATACGGTCTGAACTGCATGCGTGTGGAACACGCTGGAAAAGCAGACAACAAAACCCACAAAGTGCCTGTCAAGCTGTTGCTAAGGAAGTGAAGTCACGTTTTCCTTGGATACCACCCAACGAGTACAGAGGAAGTAATAAGATAATTAATGTTGAGCTTCTGTGAGCAGCAGCTGTAGGTTGCGTGGGAAATAATCGAAAGCCGGGGCAGCAGTAGGTATTTTGGTCATGTGTGTTTAAAAATGCACTATAAGCATGAAGTACTTGAAATGACAGACTAGTGTCTACGGCAATAGCACACTCATTTGAGCACTGCAACGACCTTTTACTTTGTTTTCTTCATTAAAAACACAATTCAAATGATTAGGAAATAAAAGATCGTATTTTTATGAATTTAAATAATTGGTAGTTTTAATGATGTATTATAAGCTGTTTATAGTTATTGTAAACAGGTCATAGTTCATCTCTAATATCTATTTATGTTGTGAAAGTATCTCTGGATTTTACAAGTTTCTCACCAACACTATATTTTACGAGATCACACGTGAACACATCATGATAATGTAATAAAACTACCTTCGCCCAATACTCACTTTCACTGAACAGAGCCTGAACGCTTCATAATGTAACCGAACAGAACCTTCCTTCTCCTCGTATCAGTTTAAACACGGATTGGTTGTTTACAATGTAACTTTATCAGAGATCTGCGATAGAAAAGCATAAATGCTGATGTCCTGCTCACATATTTTACTGAATATTGGTGGATAACGATCGTCAGTAAACTTTATTTCACACCGTGATGATTAACGGTAAACTAATTAATCCTCGGTTCACATGTGTGCCGTGAGGGGCGATCCGTACGGATCAACCGTGGTCCGTTACAGCACTACCACTGATATTGATGTTAATTTATCTTATATTATTAGTGGATAATAATTCCAATAAGAAAGCTGTATTCATTTTGACTTATAACCTGATCGTTTTTATAATAATACACTTTCTATAAATCTAGTTTATATAAATGGCCGTCTACTCTTTGTGTCCTTATATTGCCTAAGTTAACAACGGATGAACAGTGTGTTCCAACTGAAAATACGTTAGAAACTATAGATAAACAACTGACGTTTGATCCAGGCATAGTTGTGCAGTAAATCCCCTAAAGTGGTCCAAACCTTCAGCCTAATGAGTAACAGTATTCCCTGGTCCTATTCCAATATACAGTGTTCCCTCTGGAACTATAGGTGTGCTGTACCTGACAGTTGAGTCGGAGGACCCGGTGACGATGACCCTCTCGTCGTACTGAAGACACAACACTGATCCTGTGTGACCGGTCAGTATCTTCAGACACTCCAGAGACTGCTTATCCCAGATCTATCACGAGAAAGGACAGGAGTAGGAAGAGACGGGGGAGAAAGACGAGTGAGACAGAAAAAAAAAAAAAAAAAAAAAGAGGAAAAATTAGTGTTTGTGAAAAGGTTGCAGATTTGGGTCATGCTAAGAATGGCCCGTTCTCACAGCAGTGTTCATGCCCCATTTCCCCACCGCTGAGTGTGTATACTCGGAGCCATTCAGCTCGCGCCTCGGTGTGCGTCAGCCTCCTCCAGGACAATAAGAAGACAAATACGCTCTTTACCTCCCTCCCTCCATCCTCTCCTCCCAGGCCAGACAGATAAGTGGAACACACAACTGGTTTGGAGCTGAGCCCTTTTATCCTGTAATTCACTTGTGTTCTGTCTCAGTGTCTGCTGGTTCAGCTCAGCGCCATAGACAATAAGATGATAAGCCATAATGAGCCAGAGGAAAAGATTCAATTCATAAATACACAAACCCAGGTAGGAGGAACACCACCTCACACACAGCATGCATGTCTATCTCACAGCCAACACTGTTGTACCGCTCAACTGCTGGTGCTTAAACGCACAAATAGGACCAATGTTAATTACTTCTACAGGTCAGTTTGGGGGCGTAGAGCAGACCGATACATGCCATGTTTTCACAGCCTCATCAGTAGTGGGGAAAAAGTCTGAACCATGTTAAAGTCCCATGTATAAGTGCAGTGGTTTCATTAGACTTTGTGTTGAAGGACAGAGTTGAACAATTTCCATCATAATCTATTATTACACGTCATTTATTTTGTATTATAATAAGACATGGGCTGAAGGCATTTTTTAAAAAGGCAAGGTCTAGGATTCTTAACAAATACACTTTTTGTCAAATTCACCTCCTCCTGGTCCGCTAGCTGTCCGTGCAATGAAAAACTCTCTAACTTTGTATTTTGTAAGGAGGTGGCCGTTATCATCGGTATCCCGTGTGGGAGATATGTGGAAAGATGCAGCGTAATGGCCAATGAAGCAAAGACATGTTTTAAATCAGCCTCTTCTAAACAATGCGAGCATAATCGGAGAGATCTGTCTGTATCCGCTCCACATGCTCTATAGGAATGTGTGCACGCACTCAGCTGAGGTTGTTTCCTTGCAGAGAAGAAGAGTCTTCTTCAGTGTTTGACAAATATTAGAAAAAGTAATTGATGACAAAACCCAGTGAGGGCCTGTGTCCATGTAGCATTTCTTTCTTCTTTTTTAAAATTGTTCTGAATAAGGAGAGAATGTGTGCGGCCGCCAAGAGAAAAAGTGCTGCGACCAGGGAATGCCTTTCTGCGCTGCTCTGAGCGTGTCTTGTTTTAAAATCTCTGAACTTTTGAGAAAAGCGCATGTGAAGTCACTGTAGACAATGGAGAAGAAGCTCGTTATGGCCGTGTCTGTCTATCCTGACCTTTATATTTCAGTCAGACACCATCATAATAAAGAGCAAAAAGCCCGTTTGTGGGAGGAGATCGGCCAAGCGTACACCGAGCGTTGTGTTTTTATCCCCGTACACCTCGGCTCCCAAAGATTGTGCTCATTGCTTTGATGTTATGGCTGCCAGATTGATTAGTGACGAGCTCATCCATACAAACTATGAAGCCATTACCCTCAGGTTGGTGCTCATGATGAAAAACAATGTCAAACAAATAGACAGTAGCCCAAATAGATGCAAAGAGACGATGCTGGTCCATCAACCGGTGGTTAGAGTGGTGATACGAAACATAAATAATCACTCAGAGTGCTTCTTCAATGAAACGCTGGGACTTATTATATAATTTGCTGTTTATTAATCAATCAAGTTATTTATTGTTTTTCATTTTCGTTGTGCAAGAGTGCATTTATGTTTATAGTAAAACAATATATTAACCTTCACTGTGGCATTTTTTGATAAAGCTTACAGTGAAGGTGTCAATACACCTTCACTGTAATAAATAAGGTCTAATGATTCTTCATCAGTCAGGAATAGGGTGGATTTGAATAATAACAGCTGATTTGGCCCAATTCTCCTTCACAATAATGTTCAACATAATAACAATCAGGTAGGTAATCTTTTTAAAATATGCATAACTTAAGATCAGTGTATATGATGGAATAGTGCATTAGAATGTGACAAAGAACACAACATTTGGGCTTTTACGGGCAAAATGTGTCTCTGGAGGCCGCTAGCTAGCTCATCCATATCCTCTGCTGCTGTGCTACCAGCTTCAATAAACAGACAGTAAGTTTTTGTTTCCATGAGCTCTCTGTGCATTGCACATGTATAAAGTGTCCACTAAGGCAAAGATGACAGGGGTGATTTCACAGAAGACAGACGGAAATTATATAGTAGTTAGAAAGTTTAGAAAAAGAGCCAATGTGTGGCCAGGCACAGCGGCAAAGGTAACAAAGTGGTCACAGTCTCAGATTGTCCTCAATGTTCAATACACACCTTGATGGAATTGTCCCTAAGGCCACTGATGATCTTGTCATCGTCGTACTGGAGACAGTAAACACCTTTACTATTTTCTGAGCGACACTGAATCCTCTGCAAGTTGTGTCGGCCACATCGCCAATTTGCCTCAATAGTCTGGAGAGAAGAGAGAGAAACAATTAGAAAGACAAACACAGAAGGCCACATTAGAGAGAGAGAGAGAGAGAGAGAGAGAGGCAGTGGAGCTGAGCAGGGAGAGAAGATGGAGGCTAATATGGAATATGATCAAACCACGAAGGTGGTCATGAGATTATTGTGATTAGAATAACACCAACAACATGACCTCCACGCTATTAATTAGCTGTGATCAACAATTTGCTTCGACTTTCCCGACCTTCTACAAGGTCAATTTAAAAAAAGGTGCGTAAGTGATGTTTATACTAAACAATGAATGTTAGTTTAAAATGAATGGATTCATGATTTACAGTTTGTGAGATACTATTAGAGTTGTTTCTCTTTTCATGTCATCTTCAGACTACATCTTCTCCACTAACATCAAAATACATAATAACATAAACATAACATAAAAACATGTTTTTAACAAAGTATTTTGCCTCATTCCTCATTTAAGCATTTCAAAAAAGAACACTTTCAGCAGTGGGGCCAGTATTAAGCAATCTAACACAATAAATTACATTTAGATAACCACAACAACACCAAATCATATTTTCCCCATCTTTTGGGCGATATAAAATATGATGACAGACTTTAAAAAATGTATTTGAAAAGCCTCAAAGATTTGAATGTAAAAAAGAAAAGAAAGAAAGACATTTGATATCGCCCTATCCATAACATTTCTCCTGTGGACTGCAAAGTTTTGGCGAGTCGGGCTCAACGGAGCTCAGCGGGCGGACGTGTTGTTCCACCAGAAGCTTCTCAAAGTGCACAGTAGGGCGCAGATTCTAAATATCATTTCATACAAACTTAGTTCTGATAGCAAGTTAGTTAAAACCGTCTGAAAAGCGGCAGAAGGAAAAAAACAATCGTCGATCATCCCTTCAAAAGTCAATATCCGATCAGCACAGGCCTAGATACGACGTTCTAGCCCTGCAAACTGCAAAGCGACATCTTTAACAGCAGAGGAAACTAATATCTGGTGCAAATGAAAGCTCCGTCTCTTACCTCTATGTCTTGGATGATCTTGGGATAAAGGGAGTGATAGTAGGAGTTGGGTGGGACTTCTGCCGTGCGGTTCTTGAACAAATATTTCTCCCTATGGAGAATGAAAACTGCTTTGTACACAGTGGTATTTTCTTAAATCTACAACAGACACTCAAGACCAAACTTCTCTTCCTTTCCTTTATCCTAAATGAAATACTTCAGGATTGCTAAGCCTGTATGTGTGTGTGTAAATGGGTCTATGTCCATTCTCACCACTGGTGTCTCTCGGACAGGCCTTTCCAAAGCGGGTCGGTGCGGACCATGCGTTCGATGAGCTTCTTCCACAACATACCCTCAGAGATGACCCTCTGCCACTCCTTACACACCAGCTCTGCCGAGCACAGCGAGCGTGCATCCAGGAAAGACAGGATGTTCTCCGCTATGTGATCCAAGCCTTGGGCTTAAGGGAGGAAGAAAAGAGGCTGAGCGAGTACTTGCTGAAAACCTACGAGTATTTCATCTCGTTGGTGTATCTGAAACTTGGGGTTCACTATTTCCAAACGTAACTCGTGTTTATTGGTATTTAATTCAAATATTTGCCTTTAAAAAAAAGAAAGAAAGAAAGAAAATGAACAGTACAAAAACCGGGTGGAAATTTTAGGAATGTCATCTGTAGTGCAAACTTTCTGTAGCTTTATCCTCTTTAATGTTGTGTTCATGAGAAGGCCTAATTTACTCTCAACTCCAACTATTGTCTTCATGCAGCAGGACGTAAATAAAAACCACAAAATAATCTCCTTTTTATAAATTCAGGGCATTTTTTCAAGGAAAGTCGTAATAAAATGGAAATAATGAGTCTTATGTGTGCCTAACTCTACACTGCATTCAGGGAAGACGGAGCTCAACCTGGAGTAGTTGTTTTTATATCTATATATGTACCTGGCAGCGCAGTGATGAAGTCCCTCTGCAGCATGGGTTTGAGGTAGGAGTTGATGTGGCCGTGCTGGTAGTGGCACATACGGGAGATCAGGCGCTCGACAAACTCCACCTGGTCGGCCTCCGACCACTGGTCAAACAGGGCGATGCAGTGTTCCTTCTCCTTCTCGTAGTTCCCCTCCGACGGGCGCTTGCGGGACCCCACAACAGGACCATTACTAAGCTGTAAATTATAGAAAAACACCTGTTTGAGTTTGAATCTATTCAATACGGTAGAATACACACAATATCGCCAAAGTTTGTTTTAAAAGATGGAGAGAAAAAACTGTATGCGAAGAGGATCGAGAGTAGTTATATTGTTTCAGAAGGGATTAAGCTAAAAAGCGTTTTCTATTGCCGAAGGTTAAAGCTCATTAAAACACTAGAAGTCTGTGGGTGTATGAGTGGGAAGAAGGAAGAATGGTTCAAATAAATGTTAATGGCATCAGCATTTGTCAACATCAGTGTAAGGTTTTTACTTGAAGGCATGTAGGGAACAGAATATCCATACAAAAAATCTGATGTCACAGAATACGCTACGAGTTGTTAGAATCAAAATTAATCACATTTAACATTGTTAAAATTGTACTTTCTTTAAACAATTGTGAAGCTTTAACTTCAATATCATCAGCCTTTATACGAGCGTTCCCTCCTGATGGAAGATTTAAAAGACAACAACACATACAATACATGCCTTTCCTGACCGTTTGAAATGGTGTGAATGTAAATAAGCTTCACTTTTCACCGAGCTGTGGTCATGGGTACATACAAAAACAGATGCACACACCTTGAGAACTGTGGTCTTCTTTGGCGACAGATCGTCCACGAGGTTCTGCGACTCCATCCCTGACGTGTTCTGGAGAAAAAGGACAAAACAAAAGAGAAAGTGCGGGTTAGTTTTATTGTCTTTGCATCGGTGTAACAGGCACTGTAAGAGCCAGGGAAGCGGTGTGGACAGCGCTGGACACAAGAGTGCCACAAACACAGCCAAGGAAGGGTGTGCACGCACAAACAACCGTGCATACACACACACACACGTATGAAGTGAAAGAAACCAGGAACTGCAACAAAAAGGAATCTATTCGCTTGCTTGTCTGTGATGTGGGCTAAGTAGTCTGGACAGGAAATTAAACTGCAGCATCTTGGGTATGTCACTGGCAGCAGCTTAGGCATGACGGCAATGAAACTAAAATCAGATATTGGTCTGACAGCATATACACAAGATAGAAAAAACAGAAAACTGGGAGGTAACCGGATCTCACCCATGTCTAGCGTCACGTAGATCCCTTACAAGTGCATTACTAATGAGCTAATGACTTAATAACATAATAACAGGGTTATAGCAAAATGCACTTAATGACGGTAATAGAGTGAGATGCTGACCATGTAACCTGGCTCTTAACACTTAAACAATAAAAATAACTTGTGAATAAATGATAAATAGCAGGTTCTTTATAGCATATACACCTCTCTGGGAGTCATGGACAGTCAGGCAGCAAAAATCAACCAACAAGGAGACCTGCTATGATCTTAGGGGACTTCAAGTTTAATGCTTTTTGTTGTGACTGAAGATACGCCGGATGTTAGGAGACCACCTTGAACCAACATGACTACACACCGTTTCCTCAAACAAACATATTCCTGAAGTACAAAGACCAAAGGATACACTGCAAACTCTCCCCAAAGTATCAGAAAGAGCACAACAAGAGCACATCTATATATGAAACACATAAAAAAGGGACGGATACATAATTGCTTTTATTTGCACTCTTAAGTTCTGAAAAATAGATATTTCCTCTTCGCAGATATGTTCAATTTATTTGGGGGAAATGGGACGCAGATGTCCTTTTACCTGGGAGAGGATCAAGGCTCTGGTGACTGAGCCACGGTCAAAGTCTTTGAAAACAGCTGAAAAGCTGGAATAGAGGCATGTGTATTTATTTTACTAGCCTGTCCGTTACTGCTTCTCAAGAGACACACGGGTTGCCATTGGCGGGCCGAACCTGGGGCCTATCTTAAAAACAGGATTAGTATTTATCTGGCTATTCTTCCTAAAGTAAAACCCAAAACTCTTCCATGTTTTGATCAGTGTAGTTCTCCATTTAACTTTGTGATGCTGCGACTTGTGGAGGGCAAAGCCAACAGAGAACACCAGTGGTTGGCCCCAACACAACCAGACAAAACGGTCAAGTACCAGGAACCAAAGCAGACGGGACAAGAAGCCAGAATGGGCTTGCTGGTGTTGATGATCATGCAGAGCAGAGGAAGAGAAGGAAGGAGAAATAAAAAACAGACAGACCAGGTTTGGCCAGGCAGGCAGGCAAGCAAGCATGTAGCCTCTCAGAGCTTGAAGGTAGACCCCCCCCACCTCGGCCCTCACATCTCCAGGTAGAAGGCAAGAAAATGCTACTCCTCATTGTGGGGTTATTCTCTGGTACCCACTGCGTCCATCCTCCACTCACATCAGATTACTTTGGAAATAGTCTACTAAAAGCCATGGCACAATCACTTTTTGATCCTAATTTAGGTGCAAGAACTGTGATTTGAAATGATTACAAGGAATTAAATTACAGTTTATAAAGCTAGGAAATGCTGTGTCAAGCAGAGAGAGTTTGAGGACACACCAGAGAAGAACCTGAGAGCAGTGTGCTTCAAACAGAGAGGAAAGGACAACGGAAGGTGAGGAGGTAGGAGGGTGAGGGGGTGAACGGGTGCTGTCTGCACCAAGGTGGTATGAGGAGTCGTGTGGAGTGGGCAAAGAAAAGTGAAGGGTGAGTAGATGGCAAGGGAGGAAGGGAAGGGAGAGGAGGAGGAGCAGCAGAATTAAGAGGAGAGAGGCAGAACCTGGTTGTGAGCCCGGGTGGAGGGGATGCTCTGCAGGCACCTGAGTGCACACAAACTCTCAGCCACCGAGGAGCAGCCCAGCCAGAGAGAGCGAGGCACAGAGCACTGTGTGAAAGAGAGAGGAAGGGAGGAGGAGAACGTAGTGGACAGGATGAGGGGGGAAGAGAAAGGGGAGAGCAAGAGACCAGAGATGGGAAGTAAAGGAAAAGAGGAGGGAGGTTGATGAGGGAAGTTGGGGAGGAGGAAACCAAAGGAGATGAGTGAATGGATGGATCAATGAATGGGTATATGGATGGAAGTGACGAGGAATTGGTGAGGAACACGACAGGTGGGAGTGCGGGAAAGTGTTGGGAATATCAAAATAATGGAAAAATTAATAATCAAGGTTTGGGTTGAAATTGAGAGGAGATAGGTGTGTAACCATCAAAAAGGTGAGGAGAGAAGAGGGGAGGAGGTGGGGGATAGTAAGGGGAAAAACCAGTATTAGAGCTACACACACATTGGCACAGTCAGCGCAGGAACACACACTCCTTCACACACATGATACAGATAAACATACACACAGGAGCATTATTAAACATGAACTGGGTGGGGAGGTAGAGGAGAGGGAGGGGCAATGGGAGTAATTGTCAATATTGTCACTCTTGTTTTGACAGAAACACCACCCACTGCCATCCCCACTCTCATGAGCGGTTAGTGAATAACACTGGGACAAAAATACACAGACAACACAGACAAAATGTTTTGTAGATTAAGACCCCCCCCCCAAACCCTGCACACATGTATATCTCCTCGATTAAATATGTGTACTCATTCTTCAGGGAGAAGAAAGAGAGATGATGTATAAACTTAGTATTTCTGTTGGTCTTGTCAGATATATTACTTTTAATGTTATATCAACACTAATAATCTATTTTCTTATTCCTTGACAGAGGAAGCACTTGGGTACGATTCTGTTTTCAGTGTTTCTAATCATTCATTTTAACTTTTAGAATAAAATAAAAAATAAACAACCAATGGAACATTAGGAAAGGAACGTATCTGTTACATTGTATCATTTTTGTGTCCGTCTGTCGGCATTCTGTCTACTAGTTTGACTCTTTACAGGCATTTCATTTCTCTCAACGATGGTTATTCAGGGTCTATAAACGTCTGTAGTAAGTGTGGATAGCACCATTTTAACAACAATAGGCACAAACTGCTTACTCAAGACGTCTGGTTTACGTCCACATAATCTACTAAACAATCCAAGATATTAACGTTACTTTCTAGGCCTGACTTGCTGTGTCAATAGCAAATATTGGCAATTGGTTCACTTGTTAAATACACTGTGCAGTATTTCAGATATGGAGTACGAGTGAGAGACTACCCGTGTGTAAGTTCATTCACAATACACATTTGTTCCTTATCTTAATTGGAGTCTTCCCTGAGACCACTTTGACCCCTGTAATGTTAATGTTGGCTATTACTAAGCTAACGTTAGCCTAGCGGGCTATCTTATCAAGAAAGCTAATCATTTCTCAAGAAAGCGATGCTACTTGTTGGCCAAATCTGACAAGTCTATCGAGGAAATTGACATTATGACGACAGTCCGTGTTTCTGGTTACCCAAAAGAGCTTTTCGCCAACCTGCCCGAGTGACTGTTTTTGTATGGTAATGCTGTCAAGTACACCTAGCATGCTAGCTATTAAGCTAATTGCTACCTCGCTAATCGTGGTAACGCTATGTGAATGAAAAAGCAACACACTTCCTTCTACGCACTTTGAAAATATAAACAGAGAACCAGCGCGTTATTACGATTTTAGCAACACTCCATTATATCATTAAACATAGTCGACTGTTCCACACAACTATTAACATGTAGGTAGCCTTAACATAAACTACATACGACAACATACCCGTAAAATTATGTGGTTCATCGCCTCCTAGCCTGTGTTAGCTGGATGGCTAAGTCTCAAACAGGGCCCAGTTAAAGTGGCGCAGCGTCACCGCAGTGATCGCTACCCCGACAATCCTCGGCTGTCTTCGGCCGACGACCGAACACAACCTTTTAATTCCCCCGCTGTTCACCGGTGTGTATTCCAAACAACACAGGTTGTATCGGACGTAGAAGTAAAGGTCCTGGCTATTAATCCGGGCGATATGAGGAGCATTCTTACGTAAAAGGTATCGATAATTTCAGGCCCTCCCTCTGTTTTCTGGTCCCCCCTCCTTTCTCCTCTAGCTCTCCCCGACGAGCCGCTTCAGTCCCATTCCTGCCGTCGAATCGGGCCTCGGCGCTTCTTCCCCCACTATAAGAGTGATAATGAACACTTTGGATGTTCCGGATGCCATAAGGAAAATAATCTTACCATCAATTCCAACGTTTTGTCCTCCATCTCCGGCTCCATGTTGACGATCCCCCCCGAAACTCGCTCTGAAAATGGAAACCCAGCCCTGCGTCGGCGGCCCGCAAAAGCAGAGACGTCATTCACTTCGCTCAACCACACAGCTTTGGTGGGGCAGTGTCAAAAGGGTGGGTGGGTGGGTGGGGGGAATGGTGACGCCCATTGCAATGAAAAAAACGCGCTGATTGGACAGATTTTGTCAAAAGGGGAGTGATTTGATAGCTTTACTTTTTATTGATTGGCTCACCGTGCTACCAAGGCTTCCCCGGTGACTCCCCCAAACAAAAGGGCAAATGGATGAAGATGCTGTTGCCATCCTGAAGAGGAATACACTAAGGCAAAATCAATCATCCGCATAGCTTTGCTATAAGATGCTGCAGGATGTTAGCTATATTAATGTCGTGTCATTACATGAGATGGTAATTTAAATCCGGCTCCGTAAAACAGCAACAGAAGTGATGCAAGGATTCAAGGTTAGGTTTCTCTATAGCTGTGTGATAACATGGGCAAATACAATTTTGAGAAGAAGTTTGGGTTGTTTTAGTTAATTTTTCATTATTAAATCCACACAGGATTAAATAAGGAGGGATAACGGGTGACAAGAGTTACACCAAAGTCGTCCAGCAAAAAGCGGATACAGGATAACTTTGAGTAAAACATGGAACTGTGTGAACATGGAATGATTTCAGATGTTAATCAACAAAGTAAGTAATCCAACTTCAGTTTCCGTTACCCTTTAGCTCACACTAAAGAAACATGGCTGGTCAATTGCATGTTAATGTTAGAAATATTCAAATCTCATTCTCAGAACTGGGCAAGTTTTAAGGCTGTGATGTGCAGGATGTTTCGTTTCCTCCAAGAACTCATTGACCCAAGCTCCTTAATAGTTTTGCCTCAAGAGCTCATCTTGTGAAGCAATGACTCATTTTTTTTTTGTATGAGAATGGATGAGTTTTTGGTGTATTCAACGAGGTCATTCTTTAACAACTCCTTGGGTTGTTCCGTCTTCGCAGTGTTATGAATGAAAATCCAATAGAAGCAAGCCAATGCCAAACCTCATTTTCTAGACGACCAACATATCACATTTAAAATTGCATTAACAAGAATGCATTAACACATGCACTTTTTGAATGAATTTCTGATCATAGCGATGTCACAGATTAATTCACAAAAGCAATTAAACATGTCACAGCTGGAATTTTGTAATTGGGACTCACATGGTTGAAAATGTTAGGTTAACTCTAAGCAGATCCCATCACCTTATGTCAAGGTATACAATAATGAATACCACAAGATCAAACAGATCTAAGACTTTTGCTTTCTGCAATTCAAAATTAATCAAATTTCAACATAAGGAGGTGGATCCTGATGAAACAAATCGACAAAAGAATCCCCTAAAAGCAGTCATGTATACTTTTAAAAACACAGGACTATTCAAATTCTTCATTTAAAGTCAGAAAAGCAAAGACAGGTTCTGCCTTCCCAGGAAGAGGAAATGCAGCACAAGATTGAGACCACAGCAGATGAGGAGGTAGCAATGGTTTTCAGCAGTTCAAATTTAATACTTTGTCCCCCTTTCTCTACAGAAACCCAGGTAAAAAAAATCCCCCACTCTCATAAAATACAACAGCAGCAGTTACCAGTAAAAAAATGAAATGCAAAAAGGAAAAAAAAAATAAAATAAAGAGAAAGCGTTGAAGGGAGGAGAGAGAGAGAGGGTAGGGACACGATGAGGCAAGAAAGGAAAATATATTTTCTATATTTGAGAAGTGAGCCCAAAGTTCTTCTTCAGACCGGGTTCGGGGCAACGAGGAATCTGGGAACTTGCTGTTGTGTTCATTCAAAATGGAGGGGAGGAGAGAAAAAAAATGAACAAAATGAGTCGAGTCCAATCCAACTAGGGGAAGGAACCAGCACTCTAAGGCAGGGATTTATTCAGGAAGGGCTTTCTCCCTCTCTGGATGAAAGAAATTCTTACTCCTCTTCAGCCTGTGTGATGTTGTTTTGTTGTGTGTACAGATGAAATGTATGCACAAGTTTGTGTATGCAACAGGTAAATTGGAAGGTGTGTCTGTCATATATGGGCAACACGGTTGCACCTCTCACTTGCTGCAAGAGAGGTGGCATTTTTCTTTCCTCATTTCTTCATTCATTCCTTTGCTTTTCTTTTTTTCTCCAATCAGTCCCCGACTACCTAGTAGTCATCCAAATCAAAGAACTCATCGTCCTCTCCTTGGTACTCCATGCCCTGGAAATCCACCCTGTACCGCAAGATACCTGAGGAACACAAACATGACAAAGGTGATATGATGGCTGACCGGCTTATGTCATGTTTGATTACATCGTGGCAGCATTAAAAGGAAGAATTTGTATTAGGATAAACTAATCCTGCTTAGCTATTCGGGTGGCAGCATTTGTATCCAAAAAAGCATGAAATCCTCTTTTTTTTTTTTCAGTATTACTTGCTGAATAAAAAAGGAAAACATACAATATAGGTTTAGGAGGAAATGTACAGTGAACTAGTACACACACACACACACACACACACACACACACGCACACACACACATTAGAGGTGGAACAGACCATTGTCGATCTGTGATCCGTACGGATCGCTCCTCACGGGTCGGCCCGCATGTGAACTGCTGATTATTTACCCAGTTTTACGTTAGCCGTAAACGAAGGTTCCGTTCAATCACATTGTGATGCGTTCAGGCTCTGCTCAGTGAAAATGAGTACTGGGTGAAAGTAAATTATAACATTATCATGTGTTGTTCACATGTAATCTCGTAAAAAAATGTAGTGTTAGGAAGAAACTTGAATAAATAGTTGTTTGAAGCAACAACATAAATAAATATTAAAGACATGAACTGTTTACACAAGCTCACAGCAGCTTATAATACATCATGAAAGCTACCAATGACAAGATTTGTTTTAATCCATAAAAATACAATATTTAATTTCCTTACCATTTGAATTGTGTTTTTATGACTAAAAAAAATAAATAAAATAGATGACTAACAAAGTAAAAAGATAACTTTTAGAATTTTGTAAACCAGCTTCTATAATCCAACGACAAAGGGATCTGTATCTGCCAACACAGATCATCAATGATCAGTAATTAGTATTGGCGGCAAAATAACGTGATCAGGGATCTCTAAAAGTTATATTTGCTCCCTTTTTCTTTTGTGCTGATCCGATCTGTGAGTTTTATGATCTGTTAAACCACTAACACACACTTATTTTCACAAAAGTCGAAATGGCATCTTTTAAGCCAGATTAGTCCTAGCCATAACCCACTATGTATGTTATAGTAGTGTTATAGTGAGTTCACGGAGCTAAGCCAATTATTATTATTAGCCTGTGAAATTTTGCAATCATATGGCCCAGGCTATCAATGTCCTGATTGTTGCTGACTTCAGCATGAAATGAACTTCGGTAGAGCAGCTTAAGCGGCCACGTGGCCGATTATAGAAAGGCTTGTTTCTTACACTTTGAGGTTACACATCTTCTCAGTAGATCACAGAAAAATATACCAACTGAACTACATATATCCTTCAATCATCTCAAGTCGTAAACAACTGTGTGCTCACCCCCGATGCCTCCAAAGCCCTTGACGAACTGGGAGCCTTCCTGGCTCTTGTCTGTGACTATCTCCAGCGTGGCTCCAAATTTCTTGTAGTTGTTAGCGAACCACTCCAGCAGTGGCATGCTCTCGAGCAGCTCATGTTCCTGCCCCGTCTACAAACACAATCAAGAGTCAGGAAAAGCATGGCATGATGGGTAAAGGGTCCAACTTAATTCACAGGGATCCGCCCCCTCTCTTTGAAGCGCTCACCTCCTTGTCTGTGAAGTGAGACTTGTCTTTCTCCTGCTCTGGCGTCAAGTACAAAGTCTTCTCATCTGAAAACCAAGGGAGAGACATGAAGATCATAGCATAAAGCATAATATTTATATTTAGTTTCAATATATTCCTGTTTCTCAGCAGTGGTAGATGTGATGTGTGTGGTCTGTGTACCGTTCTCCAATCCGTTGCTCTCTGCCCCATGTACACGTAGAATGTAACGCATGGTGTCTAAGTTTTCGTAGACTATGAGGATCTCCACTGCTCCCATCTCCAGGGCTTTGAGTGTGTCCTCCACACCAAAACAGTACTTCCCCGTGTCCTGGCTGATCTCATCAAAGTACCTTCCTGTAGAGAGGGACAACCATTAAGAAAGTCTCTACTACAACATGGTATAGATATTTTCATAAGCTGTCACTGGAGACGCCTAAAAACCGTTCCAATGTGTCACTAGGACAACTCACCTATGAGCTTCTTCTCCTGGATGAACTTGACATTAGAGAGAACCTCCGCTGAGAGCTCAATGGCCTGGTTGAAACCATTCTCTCCTCCGTATGAGATGTCCACCAGCTTTAAAACCTTGGCCTGTAACCTCTGTAGAAAACAGACACACACGTTAAACACTATAGAATAATCCACACAGGCGTAACATGATACAAGAATACAAAGAGGATTTGGACAGTCCTTTACCTACAGCATGCACAAACTGTCATTCTTCACACTTTGCTAAATTAAATGTATATAATGTTCTTATGAGTGTATTCAGAATATCTATTTTTAGTGTGAATGGTACCCTTATCACAATTTTAAGTTTAGAAAGATAGAGCTGCCTTGACTTAAGATCTTAGTTGATTTAATTTTTTGGCATCCTTTACCCACAGTGAACTGAGATTCTAAATTTGTTAGCCATCTAGTTTCTGAATTGTTTCAGATTCAAATCAATTAATTATTGATATATGACACAGTAAAAACTAAGTTGATTGGTATTGTTTTTTGACAGAACACACAGACTTACTGGGTCGAACATGTCCGACTGGCTGAGCTCAGTCTTGAAGTCAGCAGAGCCAGCTAAGACCATTCCTGCCACA